CATGGATAACATTCTTCGTCCAGTTGTCCTACCATTTCTCCAACAGCAGCCACGTGGTGTCATTTATCAGCATGACAACGCTAGAGCCCATACAGCCAGAATTGTCACTAACTTCCTCGCAGCCAACAACGTCAACGTCCTGCCGTGGCCTGCACGCTCACCCGACATGTCCCCCATAGGACACCTCTGGGACTTGATGGATCGTCGTGTTCGACAACGACCACACTCTCCAGCCAACCGGCAAGAACTGATCTTGGCCCTCCAAAAGAATGGCGTCAAATCCCATGTGACCTCATCAGACGACTGACTTTTTCTGTGCGTCGAAGAGTTTTTGCGTGTATTGAGGCATTTGGTGGCCACACACGCTACTAATGACTTGTTATTGAACGTGATCGATTGTTTATGTACTCTGCCTGCTGTCCATGATTCTGAAAGCTCGAGTTGTTTACCACATCCAACTTTGGGGGGCTCTGACGTCATTCTCGGTCGCGGTATGATTGTCATTTTCAGTGTTGATTATGTTGATATATTGATCTTCTCAATACACTTTACTTCATGCATGTGTTTTGTTGTTTTTGAGCAAGAGTGATTTCAAACTCTGGTAAAGTTTCTTTTGGACGTCAGTTTATAAGCAAACAAAACGCCAATCGTGGAGAAGGTATGTATCCAAAATCAATTCCCGAACTCCGATTTCAAAGGTGTGGAACATGATACAAAAAATTAAAGGTAAAGGTTCAAAATCTGCTGTTCATCATCTTGAAGATGGTGGTCAATTGCTTACTGACAAAACTGACATTGCAAATAAACTGGTCGAAACTTTTGCCAAAAACTCTTCATCATCTAATTATGTACCTAACTTTCAAAAATACAAACAGCAACAAGAGAAGAAAAGTATTAATTTTAGTTCCGGCAATGGTGAAGATTATAACGAAATATTTTCAATTCATGAACTAAATACTGCCCTCGGACAGGCCCATGATACTGCAACGGGTGCTGATAACATCCATTATCAACTTCTGAAACACTTGCCTGAATCATGTTTAGAAGTTCTGCTTTGTATCTTGGCATAATGCCATTGTCATCTCTATACCAAAGCCTGGCCGATATCATTTAGATCCTTCAGATTATCGACCTATATCATTAACTAGCTGTGTCTGTAAAGCCATGGAACGTATGGTACACAATAGATTGGTTTGGTACATGGAAACCAACAATTTAATCACTAACATTCAATGTGGTTTCCGAAAAAACAGAAGTACCATCGATCATTTAGTACGTTTGGATTCGTTTATAAAAAATGCCATTGTGAATAAAAAGCATGCGTTATCAATCTTATTTTACTTGGAAAAGGCATATTATACTACATGGAAACATGATATTTTAAATCAATGCCATGATTTTGGTTCGAGAGGCCGTTTGCCTCAATTTGTATCTCAGTTTTTAACTGACCGGCAGTTTCAAGTCCGCGTGGGCTCTACCCTGTCTGATCATTATAATCAGGATCAGGGTGTCACACAGGCCAGTATATTGTCTGTCACTTTGTTTAGTATTAAGATTAACAGTTTAGCAACTGTATTAAATGACTCAATTGATGGGTCATTATTTGTTGATGATGTTAACATTTCGTGCCGTGGCAAAAATATGCGCACTATTGAAAGACAATTGCAGCTTTGCTTAAAAAATATTCAGAATTGATGTGAAAAAATGGTTTCAAATTTTCAAAATCCCATAAAGATGCTGAATTGTTTCTTGACGGTACTCCCATTAAGGTTGTTGAGGAGACCAAACTTTGGGGACTTGTTTTTGACTATCATTTGACCTATTTGCCGCACATTAAGTATCTGAAGAATAAATGCCTGAAGGCTTTAGATTTATTGAAAGTCGTATCAAATTCTAAGTGGGGAGGGGATCAGACAATCCTCCTCCACTTATACAGATCACTTATTCGCTCAAAATTAGACTATGCCTCAATTGTATATGGTGGAGCCTGTAAGAGTAATCTAGAAAAATTAGATACCGTCCACCATCAAGGCCGGTGACTCTGTCTTGGCGCCTTCAGGACATCTCCTATTAATAGCCATTATGTCGAAATTGTCAAAATGTCTCTTCAGTATATTAGTCAAATATTAGTCTTCAGTCAAATATATCAAATCCTGCTTATGATACAGTTTTTCATCCACAATATGAAGAGCCGTTTTAGAAGAAACCAAAACATATTCCATCTCTTGGGATTCGGATGAAATCCCATATTACCGCTGCCAGGATAGAACTTGATACCGTATCTCCATACAGACGTTTATCAACTCCTCCATGGCAGTTCGTTCGACCGACAGTGGACCTAACCCTTGCTAATAACAAAAAATCAGAAACTAATGAATTACAATATCAACAGGATTACTTACAGTTAAGGAGCAATTATGATTCTCACCGTTCAATTTTCACTGACGGATGTATGTATGTATGTATGTATGTATGTATGTATGTATGTATGTATGTATGTATGTATGTATGTATGTATGTATGTATGTATGTATGTATGTATGTATGTATGTATGTATGTATAGAATACATTCAACAGCAATCCATCCACAAACAATTTATATTTTCTGATTCACTGATTAAAAACATGTCTTCGGGTCATCCATTCATATTGGATATATTGGAAATGTACAATTATCTCACCACTGGCCAATACGTCTTCTGTTGGCTGCTCAGTCATGTCGGCATTGTGGGTAACACAATGGATGCTGCTGCTGCAAATGCAGCACTCAACAAATCTGTGACACCACTTCTTATCCCATACGGGTGATATTGAACCTGTTATTAGATGTTATATCCGAGATCTAATGCAAAGGAAGTGGGACACCCAAGTAGGTGTAAATAAGCTACATGCAATAAAACAAACCATAGGTTACACTTACTTGGGTTGTCAGTCCAGATTTGAAGAGGTCATTATGCGACGATGTCGTATTGGCCATTCTCGTTATGCGCACGAATATGTGTTAAAAGCTGAAGATCCTCCATTTTTGCATCCCTTGTGATGAGAGAATCACAGGCAAGCATGTTTTGTTTGACTGTGTAGATTTTTCTCTCACAATATATATAAATATTATCGTTCATCTTACTTTAAAGGATCTTTTTAATAATGTCAGTACCCCTATAATTCTTGTTTTTTTAAGAGAAGTAGACCCAATAGATAATTTTTTAATAGATGATATGTATTTTAAGTAAGTTACATCAACTGAGATTATTGATAGTGGAGCCACAAGGGAGGTTAAAGTAGCGTAAAAATATTGTCCTCCTGCTAGTGACACGTAAATCCATTCGCGATCAAGGTAAGTAATATTGACTTGTGTTTTGAAACTTAGATTGTATTGTCTTTTTTAGTATTGGCTAGCATACGGTACAGCCACTGGTAGCCAAAGTGATGACATAAATCCTGCTGGGGAGTCATGCAGGAAGCATAGGTACTGTAAGTCCCCATGATCTCCAGTAAGGTGGTCTAACTTTGGTTATTAGTGGTCTATAGCCTTGTTTTAATTGATAGGACTTAATCTATTCTAGCTATATGTTTTTTTTAAAAATGTGATATACCTTACTATTTTACTGTCCTTTGTCGACAGATATTTTAAATCTAATACCTAGTTCCCATCGCTATATGGCTTAACTATTGCCGATTCGATGAAAAATTTAACTCACTCACTCACTCACTCACTCAAACACAGGCAAGTCAATTGTTCACCTGAACAAAACACGGGGAAATAAGGTAATAGTCAAAATAGGGAATTGCATCGGACATACATTTTGTCACTGATGTGAAGGAAGTATAGTACACCCTTTACAGTTTGTATGTATTACATACAACACTTTCCATGCCTACAGTGTGCATTTGAACGATAAACATAACCAGCCAGCATATTTTCGCAGGCATCAAAGTAACTATGTATTCTCTATTGATGAACATGGAGACAATTGGTGTTCAAAAAAGGGGATGATGCTCCTTCTTTTGGCCCTGCTAATAATGGGCAGAAGAGTTAAAGAGGGAAATGTGATTCAAGGTCAGGAAGACATTCAACTGCGACAACGAAGGAAAATGTTGATAAATTATATGACTATGACCACTATATCACCCACGGCCCACCACACGTCACACTGCCATTACAGAAGGCATCTAACGAGAGAGAGAGAGAGAGAGAGAGAGAGAGAGAGAGAGAGAGAGAGAGAGAGAGAGAGAGAGAGAGAGAGAGAGAGAGAGAGAGAGAGAGAGAGAGAGAGACTTAGGAACATCCTGAAGAACGAACAGGGCATGACAATGGTTTCAGCACGCTGGGTTCCAAGGTGTGTGACTCATCATCAGAAACGCTCTAGGGTCATTATTTCTCGTGGGGATTTACGTCGTTTTAATTCACTGATTTACTATGAGCCACAGACTAAACAACAGTGGAGCAGTGGAAATATATCTAACAGCTTCTCCGAAGAAAAGGCAACATCTCTTCCATCAGTTGGCTAGTTGTCGGCACATGTTTTGGGATTCCAAAGGAATGGTATCGGGGGACTACCTCCCGAAAGGTTAGACTGTTAATTGCAAATAGTATGCCAATCTGCAGGGAACCATCGTGAGGATATCAAGGCTAAACGTCATGATAAACCAGGTGCGATGTTCCACCAGGAACATGTATTAGTCTGTTGTCGCCGTGACTGCAATGCATGACTGTGGCTTTGTACATCATACGTATTCACCAGATTTGGCACCGTCAGTTTTAGTCGCCTATAACTAGATATAGAGGCTAAAGCTTATGGGGACTCATTTTAACCCGAAACTCCCACTGTGGTGCCTATTAGAAACGCCTGTGAATTAGTTGTTTCCTTTGTTGCAAAACTGTCGTGGTCTAAGACAAGAGCAGAGAGAGAGCTTCGGCCAAGAGTTTGGGTTTCGGATGGGTTACTAGTTTGTACTACAAAAGAACCGATATTTTGCATTGAATTCACACACAACCAACGTCATTCCTTTATTTATTTCTTGATAGAAATACAGTCTTGCCAGTACACATGATATTTTAGCTATTGTTAAGTTTTAGATAGTTACCATTTTGCAAAGGTGTATGTCCTATGGGTTGAATAACTCATCACTTGTATCATGATAAGCAATCAATTTGAACGTATGTGTCTGTGCATCACATACTAAAATAAGAAAACTTTAAATTTTCTGTATCAAATACCATTTCTTCAAAATTCATTTTTTGTAGACCATGAATATGTACATAATATATAGATAGTTAAATGGAAACGAGACTGAGAGAAATGCTGTATTTCTCTTCTCAGGGTATGGGAAGTAGAACGGCCTCCTTGTTGTCGAATCCCAATTTGCAGCATGCGGAGACTGGATCCACACACACTTGGCGACCATCAGTGCCTGTTGTCAGATCGGTACAAAGCTGAAAAACATGACGTGATTAACTAAATAATTGACGTCCTCAGACAATAAGGTTTAGAAAGCCACTATTTAATTATATATTTCACAAAATATAAGAAGTGTTCATTACAGATGTAAAGTATCATATATATTCAGAAAATTAAGACAAATAACGACACAAGTTTTCCTCCTTTTATATTCATCCATCCATATACATGTACTATTATTATGTAATCTTCAGCATTTAAAGTCAGCATAAAACCTTTTACGAAGTATTCTATAAAATGGTATGTATGTGACAATTTGGAACGGTACTAAATGTAAATATACAAATATTAGCACGTATTGTAACTTTCAATAATGTTTTACCTTTACAGTTGCTCTATATTACATATTAAATAAGTATTTTGCTCAAGAAAATACTGGAAAAAGAGAAAAGGCAGCTCCCTCAAATCAGTAGAATGTATAGTGAAATCCACTTACACCTATTCCACGTCCTGCATAACTTTCAAGGTCATCGAAAGGCAGATTGTGTGAGGCCACGTCAAAGGTAACTTCTCTGTTGGCAGCCAGCGTTACATCAGCAACGACTCCTGGCAGGGTATTTGAGCCGCCAAAAAAGTTGGAAAAAAGACGGAATCTTAGGCAAAAAAAGAAATAAGATTTTATACGGGCAGGATGAGCATGTAATACATATAAATGGTAGATACATAATGTTACACGAGGTTCGAAACAAATTGTCAAACTGACCGTCAAAGTAGCCATATTTGGGGCCATTGTGTTCAAAATGTAATGGAATTTGGTACATATTCAGCAAGAAGTGGGACTCGACACATGCGTTCTATGTTTCACAATTATATTATTCTGTACCTTGATTTGCCTTGCCTTGTCAGTTTGATCATGTTCTTAAAGTCTTTCATTATACATATTTGGCTCTAAAAACTTATCCTCCGAAGCGATTCGCTGTGCAGAGTTGCGTCCCTTGGGCACACTAGAAACCTGTGATTGTGGGTTCGAATCCCGGTTCACCCCGATTATGTTTCTAGGTTTGTCAGCACCATACCTGTGTTCGTGGGTTTCACCGAAGTGGTAAACGTCTGATACCTGCATCACTTCGGGCTTTCCTCCCATTTTTAAGCTGACACGCCATGATATAAATGGAATACTGTTAAAAGCGGCGTTAAACCCAACTCACTCACTATCCTCCGAAGAATTTGCCAGACTGTGGAAGCTGAACTTGTCATGTGTTTCTTCTTCTCATGACATATTTTGTTTGAGTGTCAGATCTTGGTATTCAGTACATACGCAGAAAATGATATCAATCCTGACAGCATTTTTGTTAAGAATCGACCTTTTTGGCATTTGTAACTTTTGTGCGAGTACACTATTTTAAAAGTTAAGAGCTATGTAATGACAGTTCTTTGTTTATGCTTTCTAATAAATGATGTTGAAATGATCTCAAATGATAAGCATACCTTTGAAGCACAGGTCCTAGTCTATCCGATGTACATCCTGCCCCAATACGGGATCTCTCAGTGGCGACAAGTATAACGTTTCCAGAAACCGTTGTTGTTCTGATTACAATGGATCCGCTGAGAGTTACTTGCCTTTGACCCCACTAAAATACAGACACAACCTGTAAACATCTTACACATTCAAAACGTATCTTACACATTAATACACCACGTGGGGTTCCGGTTAGAATTCACCTGTAACGTATGCCGGTCGACGAAATGTATCGGATGGTCAGGCTCAGTGCATTGGTTGAATGTGTGTCATCTTAACCCTATAACACGGGTCGTTGCTCACAATATCAATCGCTGGGTTATTTACAGGCTGTCTTCCTGTAGAATGGAATATTGCTAAGAGAGGCGTAAACAACACACACACACACACACACACACACACACACACACACACACACACACACACATCCAATGCGTCACGAATAATATGCTGACTACAACGAGTATCAGGTTGTTACAATGTCTACCTATAGCCGTTTGATATAGCAAGAATATTGCTGCCAGCGGTGCGTTAACGCCATTTACTTACTAACTAACATCGCATTACCTTCTTGAAGAATAAACTGTTTGCTACTGAGCAATGTTTTGGATTTGAATTCACTCGCCAACGGTACAAATGATGATTGTGATCTCATCAGGGTAACAGTTCCGCTGAATCCAGGGGCAGTGCGAGCACAGGTGATTGTAGTGTCTGTAAGATATTGCTCATTAACGATTCTCTTATATTCGCTTATTAATTCCTGATGCATCAACTATCTAAAATCTGGTTAATGTTGGTGGGTTGGGTGTATACATGTGTATAATTAGGACATATGACAAGGCAATTCTCTGCTTAAACAGTTACATTTGGTACTTGCGGATTCTTAATGACGGGTACAACAGAAAATCATCGCCCACTAAAACCGGTCCTTAATTGTATTCATTAATAATCATGCTATGAGTGAGTGAGTGAGTATGGTTTTACGCCGCTTTTAGCAATATTCCAGCAATATCACGGCGGGGGACACCAGAAATGGGCTTCACACATTGTACCCATGTAGGGAATCGAGCCCGGGTCTTCAGCGTTAATCATGCTATGACATTAGTGGAACACCAAAAGAAAATACTTACTGAAGAAAGGGTTGATTTGATTGAGACCAATAACAGATGTTCCCAGACCAAAGGCAGCACCTCCTCCGAATCCAGGCCTAAAAAACCCTATTCCTGGCCCAACACCAAATCGTCCGGATGGTATCAAATTTATCCAATTTTGTCCCATAGTTAGGGGAGCCAGGAGACTGGATGCTTGAAAAGTCTGCTTGCGGGGGCAAATGAGCTTACTTCATGGAATAATATTAAAAGGAGGAAGATACTGAATCCCACTGTTATAGTGCTGTACCAACTCCCACTGTGCACATAAACCTTAACGTCTGTGTAATTAATCAACTTCTGAAATGTTGTTTTGCCTGAGGTGACAACTCGTACACTACTTCGTTGACCTGCAAAATCATATTGGTCGCAGCATGTGACTGCTCCATGTAAACATTGTCACAAATACTCGTACATCGTATTATTACAGGAGCAATGTATGTCCTGTGTGCCTGCAAGGAGATCGAGTTGATGTATTGTACCTGGTTGTTCTTTATGCAAACGAGGATATCAAAGTGATATTTTGTTTCTAATTGTTCTAAACGATTTCAAATTGTTTAATACGTCAAAGGGCACAAGCATATAGGACACAACATTATGTTATATATGTTCCGTTGTGCAAATCGGGAAATACATATCACGTATGTTGTGACGGGTTTCACTTAAATGCATGGACATTTTTGGGCATCTGATATTTATAAGATTAACAAACATTCCAAGGATCGATTATTATAAACTCAATGGTGAATCAATATGTTCCTTAACTCGACCAAAGCCATACATACAAGTAAGAAATGAAATTCATTTTCAACATATTCATAAACAACTCTAGAACAATATGTGCATTATCGAAATTCTTTATCAACGCCAGAACTACTGTCAATTTCAATAACTCTGAAATCATCAACATCGAAATCTGGATAGTGATGGCCTTCATGAGATATTAATGATGGCCAGTTAGATACATTTCTATGTTTAAAAGAGATTTATATGTAGTATAGGTGTGTAATCTGTGCACACACTATGCACTAAGTAATATCACATTTTACGTTGTAAAAAAACATTTAAGGCACCAATTTTCGAACTCTTGACAAGTATCTCTCAGATGAGCATGCAAATTTTGATTCAAGCACAAAATGCACAGAACAAAGCCCATAACTCTGTACTAATTTAATTTACGACACCAAGTCTCGACCTAATTTGAGATCGTTACCAGTAACGCTCTTGACATACTTGGTTTGACCTCGTTAATCTGTTCTTTGCGTTATAATCCCGCATCGAAGGTTAGGATAGTAGCACCATCGTGTCTTGACCTGATATTTATTTCCAGTGCACCACATAGCTGATGAAGTTTAAAATAATTTGGTATACTTTATCTGCTTGTTGTGACAGAGTTCATGTTGTGCTTGTCCAAGCAGCGTTACGTGTAAACATAATCTAAGGAGTTTGTAACGTGAGACAATCTAAATCTGTATTCCTTCACGAAATCACTTTTCATAATTTCTTAAATATATTCCATTCTGAAACAAAACAATCTGACACTTATTAATGTTTTAAAAAAGGCCCCATCTTCCACAAACAATACTCAAACGTCATATGTATAAAAAGTGAACAAATATTTTGAGCATCTTCAGAAATATATACTGAACCGCAAAAGAAACGTCACCCCAAGTAACATTGCATGAAAAGTTGTCATTTGAATATCTGGGTAATGTTTGTCAAAGTTTGTTAAAATTTAACATTACCTTGTCCGGAAAAATGAAATTTAATGATAAAAAAACAAAGCAGATGACAATAAAACCGATCGCCCAAACGCATCACGGCCAAGATGTTTTGTTGCAGATGTGCTTCAACTTAAAGGCAGTACCACTCAGTTTAAGGTCGAAGCAAAGCTTCTATGTTTGATACATTTAACGGATAATTTCTGGCCATTAGAATTAATCCAATTTGATGTTGACATTGCAGATATGTTGGGTCTGGGCATCTGGAAAGTGAACGATTCCTTGGTTCATTAGGATTGGATCGGTTTAGCAGGAGAACAAGAGACAATTACAAGAAAGCGTATATCCTAAGGAGTTCAAATTTACCAGAATGCCCTGTTTACCAGCAAGATTTATTCACGTTTCTTGTCCAAGGAGGTAAGAAATCACCGTCTGTTGTTGCAGCAATCTGTGGCATAAGTAGGGTACAAGTTGCAGGTTTACCAGATCAATGTCATTTTCATGTCATAAGATATATCAGAGAAGCAGCACTGAGAAAGTATAGTAATCCCACCCAGAAGAATATTTGCGTATTTGGTGAGGAACATTCTTCCCTGTTAGATTTAAATTTCTCTCGAATGCCGATTTTTCAGATATTCTGATGCTATACATATTCAGACGTATGTTTTCGTATTTTCATTGAAAAAAGCAAGACGGATGTATACTGAGATGGTAGATATGTTTTGATTTCCACTTCAAGGTCTAAACGTTGTTCAGCTAACAATGGGTCGTTTTTGACAGTCGCAAATATTAAGCAGGGAGAAAAGGCTCTGTCATATGGTCGAGCGAGAGAAATATGACTTGAAAAAAATGTATTGGCGAAGATGTTCCTGTATTGTAATGCTTGTATTGTTTCTGCCAAGGCTGGTACAGGAGGCAGCGTGATATGGGCCTAGGCTGAGATCAATGTGTGTGTGTGTGTGTGTGTGTGTGTGTGTGTGTGTGTGCCTACCATAATATGTATATATTAAACCGCAAAAGAAACATCACTTCATGAAAATAATTCCGGAAGTTTCCCACTGAAATATCAATGTGTTTTTTGGAGGTATCCCGTTGTTTGCCTTTAGTCTCTAGTCCAAATTTAATCTTAACGGTCAAAAGGTGACACATATATGGATAAAATGGGTGGCCAAAACGCAGTTTAACAAAGACCATGGTACACAATCCCGCATCCTTTCGATGAAATTGAAAACGCACGTGCGACACAAGCGCCATGTCAAGACTTATGAGGAATCAGAGAAACCAGACTTTGGGAGACTGTATGCTGGTCAGACTACACGAATGGTTGCCAATGCTTTTATGCCAACGTGGGAGCGACGACACCAGCCCACTAGCAACACCAATATCCTCCCGCTCAGTGGTACACCTAAGGTAACAACGCCGCGACCTGATCGACAGATTGTGCTTCAACATCTGCAGGAACGTTTAACCAGGGCTACAGAAACTGCACGATAAACAACTGGAACGCACCAGAGACACATCAATGCTGATACAGTACGTTGACGTTTGGCTAGCAGGAATGTCCGCTGCCAAAGACCGTATCATGTCCCCATTCTCACAACTCGTAACCGACTACAGTGTGCCATGCAGCATCAACGTTGGCGTTATCGGCAGTGGAGAACCGTTCTTTTCTCGAACGAAAGCCGATACTGTGTTTCCTCGGCAGATGGGTGAGTGAGAGTTTGGCGTAGACTTGGGGAACGCTATTCAGATGGCTGTGTGATGGAAGGAGACTGACAGGGTAGTCCAGGCTTCGCGGAATGATGCATTGCCCTCAATCAGAAAGTTGCTTCTGTGGTGTTCCAGCATATTGGTCCAGAAAGAGGCAATGGTGTCACAGCTGCCCGCTACATCGATGTTCGCTAGATCGATCATACCTCACGTCGTACAACATTTTGGACGTCATTGTAACCATGTTTTCCAGCACCACAACACCCGTGCCCACACAGCAAGGGACTTCCTGCAATAAAATGGCAACAATCATGCAGTGGCTTGACTCAGCCCAGATTTATACCCCATAGAAAACTTGTGGGACGATGTTCAGAGAAGACTGAATGAGGTGCGACTAAGGCAGACAACTGCGGATGAACTCAGTAAGGTGTGACTTGCATCGGAGTGGCGTTTCTTTTGCAGTTCAATATATAAACATTTCAGTCAAACTGGCACCAATTATGTCACAATCTAAGGGAGGTGACTATAGTATGGAAAACAAAGGGCGCAAAACGGCATAATATTTTCATACGTGTTCACAGTTTCCTGCTTGCGATGGGAGAAAATTGGGCTTATATTTTCAAAACGACTTACACTTTCTTGAAAAACTGAATGACTTGAATTAAAATATATTTAATATTTTCGAAATAAGTAATGGATTGTGTCTCCCAGAGGCTGATCAGTTAACCATCCATTTAAGTATATTGTAAGTTGGCCTCCAGTCATACATGTACCATTTTTAATCGATCACACCTAGTTTATCTTCCTGACTGGAGGCTTTGAAGTTGTTGACAACGGCCAACGTTTTGGGATTTATTACTTGCCTCTTTAAAGGGACGGTACATTGGAGGAATGACGAACTAGATCGTTAACTTTTTATTGAAATAAGGTCCAATCATTAAATATTTTGCAGGGGAGCATTGTTTGAGACAGATTATTCAGAAGTCAGAGAGACAGAAGTCAGCGCTTTAAGAAATACAAATGAATCTTTCGAGCATTCTTGGAACAGATTACACTTTTCTTCTAAATCCCCAGAATATCAAAGGGTCGGTCTTTTATATCATTATTTTCGGCTGGGGGTATTAGATTTGATTGGTGATGGTGGGGTAGCCTCATGGTTAAAGCGTTCGCTCGTCGCGCCGAAGACCCGGGTTCGAGTCCCGACATGGGTACAATGTGTGAAGCCCATTTCTGGTGTCCCCGGCCGTGATATTGCTGGAATATTGCTAAAAGCGGCGTAAAACCATACTCACTCACTCTACTTGATTGAAGCAATGAACAAATTGCCTTTGGGTAAACTAGAGATTTTTTTTTGATTTTCTTTCAAACACAAATGACTTATTTAAAAACATAAATGAATAAGAGTTACAAATTGGCAGCTATACTTTCTGAGTGTTTAAACTGTTCGACGTTAAAATATAACTCAGTAACGCCAGCGGCTAGAAACATGTTTTGTGTTATTTTCCGCTTTTACTTTGAATGTATGTTTTCCTGGCCTTTAGGATCATTGTAAAAGTCTAAAGCCTGCATCGGTATCATTCCATTTTAGATTTTTATTTAAAAGATTAACTCAATAGGAATTATGGACACTATGTTTTTATTGAATATAAAGGTAACTGTAACTGATGTTGAAATTATGTCGTGACATATGTTTACAGAAATTGGAAGAAAATGATCGAACGTGAGACTGCGACGCGTGGATCCGACAGAAATATGCTACTCACATACAGGATTGATAAGGAGCATATATGAACAGGATCCAATGTATCAACACCAAT